CTACAGAATCAGCTGAAGAGCTAGAGAACGAGCTGAAGACCTACAGAAAGAGCTGAAGACCTACAGAACCAACTGAAGACCTACAGAATCAACTGAAGACCTACATAATCAGCCAAAGAGCTACAGAATCAGCCGAAGAGCTACAGCTCAAAGGTCACCTGCCGATGCTGTGGCTCGTCAGCAGCCGAAGCAGCTCGCAGGTCTTGGTCCTCACCGACGGGTCGTGGTCTTTTAATAAAACCTTCAGCTGCTCCATGAAGCCTGCAGGAGAAGCAGCCTCAGATTATTGAGCTGTTTGAACAAACAGGATGAAAACAGACGGAGCTCTGGTCCCTCCTCTCCTGCACTTTTCTCTCCTGGTTTCTAAGAGCTGCTGCAGAGAAGCTAAATTCAGCTAAACTCCCACAAACGAACCGTTTCGAAGGAGTTTACATCACATGACTCAAACTGAGATCAGATATTTTTATTGAATTTAGGGAAAACTCCCAGAACTCGTTTCACGTTTGATTATTTCTTAAAGTCAGAGACGAGTTTTCTTCTCAAACGAACCGATGGAAAACCAAAGTCCCTCCACAAACCTTCTAAAAATAAAGTTTTATATTTTAAAATGAAAGGTGAAGATAATAATCAGTTTTTATCAGAAAAATCAAATGTCTTTAATTATTTTCTGTCTTTCAGCTGAACTCTACTCACATCTAAACTTTTACTCCTTTAAAAAAGTTAAACTCGTGATTCTGTGAATTATTTTCTTTTTTTTCTGAATCATTTTTACTCGTTTTTACAAAAAATATAAAAAAATAAAATCCTGCTTTAGTCGTCTTAGAGCTGATTTTACTGTGTAATTTAATGATCAGCCACCGCTGAAGGTGAAGTGATGTTTGTTCTGTCTGTTAGCAAAATATCTCGTGACTCGTGATTGTAGTCAAACTCTCAGGAAGTGACGACATGTTCATGCAGTTCAACGTGTTTCAAGATGGCCGCCACAGCTGAGCAACCTGGTGTGGTGGTAGCTGAGAGTCACCCCAACAAACAGGCTGAGACGCATTCAAAGTCTCATAAAAACATCGTTTTAGTTTGAAGCGTGAAGCGGCGGGCGACATGCATCCCTCATGTTGGGCCTTTAAACCTGGTCTCACGGTTCAGGCCTCCATCCGGTCCACTTTCATGTTTACTTTTCACCAAAACTACATTTTGTTTGTTTGTTTTGATTTTGAGCCTCAGAAAAGTTTATAAAAAATAAAAAGTTTCATGGTTCAGAACAGATTCTGCCTCAGAGGTTCGGGAGGTTCTGGACTTGCCTCCGGTGACGGTCTGGTAGAGCCTCTCCGGGTCGTGGATCAGGTCGCACAGTGAGTCCAGAACCGGGACCCTGCCGGCCCCCTCCTCCCGCTCCAGCTGGCCGAACAGCAGCGGGACAGACCACCGGCCGAAGCCCACCGCGGCCCGGCTCGGGTCTGCCGCGGAACCGGCCATCTGGGACCAACAGAACCGGGTTTAATCTGGTCAAAGTCGTAGGGCCGCTGCTGTTGCCATGGTAACAGCAGGTACACGCCATGCTGCTGCGTTCAGGCTCCAGGAGGAAAGTGTGTAATTTCAGAGACGGTTTATTTTAACTGTGAGTGAACGAAATATTATTTAAATTAAAACACTCGAGGTTCTTGTATAAACACCGTGTTAGCGAAATATATCAATCTGTGAAAAGGGCCTGATCTAAGACATGATTTAATTTCTGAACTCTTACTGGGACGATCTTAAAGATTTATTTTTCATTCTGTAGTCACACTTTTTATTGTAGGTTTCAAAGAATCACTGCTGTCTCAGAAATCAATTAGTTTAAAGCTTCCCGAGGAAAAAACGAACAAATGAGAGTTTGTTCAGTCGGGATGGAAACGAACCAAAAGTCTCAAACTTCCTGAGCAACTTTATTTACCCCAGAAAGTTTCACAAGACTGGTTTTGAAAATGCTGTTTTTATCTGATGGAAACTGACGTGACATAAATTTTGAGGTTTCACAGAGTTGTTCACAATAAGCCAGAGTTACACAACAGACTGTGCATTTCAGGATGATGATATAAAAGTTGAACTTGTCATTTGTAAAAAATAAAATAAAACTATTTTTCTGTAGATGTTGGATTTGTTCTGTTAGTTGAAGCTGTTTATGATGGCCTGCAGTTCAGTCAATCTGTCACTATCATTTTCTACAACAATAAAAATAAACAATATGTCACGTTATAACTTACGTTCACTACATTAGATTAGCTACATAACCAGGTCTGAAGCAAACGCCGTCATCCCGAGTGTTATCAGGCAGTTGCTTAAGATGGATTTTGAAAAATGTTTTTATCAGATGGAAACACCAACAGAAGCTAATTTTAATATTTCACCATGAAACACAAAGATGGCCACAATGTAAGTCGGAGTCACGTCATGGAAGATCTACTGAAGCAGATAAAAAAAACAGAGTTACTGGAATCAATCAAGTTAAAAAAAAAACATAATTTAGGAATCAAATAATAAATAAAAAAATTTAAAATCACCTCCGGGATTTTAAAATTAACAACAAATGAACTTTAAGTTTCCAGCAGTGTGAGGGACCAAACAACCCAAGCACAGATCAGAACCTTCTCCTCATTCCGCTGGAGAAATGTATCAGACGGTTCAAAATTAGAAGAGAAACTTTATTGTCATAACATATCAGGTGAGAGCGTTTCTCCGATCGCTGCACATAAGTAAAATAATAATAAAAACTGTGAACAGTAAAACCATAAAGCAGGAATAAATATAGAGTAATTAAATGGATTTTTTTTTTTAATAATTCATTTATCTCTTAGCATACACACACTTTATGACTACAAGGACTTGATGGCAGGGAGAGAAGCTGTATTTAACTCTGTTTGTCCTGATTTTGAGGCACCTGTACCTCCTGCCACAAGGCATGAAGGTGAACAGGTGCTGCATGTGTGAGGGGTCGGCAGTGACTGCCCTCGCTCTCCTGAGACACCGCATGCTGGTAGTGACTTCTCATGAAGGTAAGGGACTGCCAGTAATAAGTTGTGTGGCGTTAATGACCCTCTGCAGGTTCTTTCTTTCCGCCACAGGTACACCAAGCTGTAATACAAATCATCAGAACACTTGATGGTGCTGCGGTAAAAGGCCACAAACAGTTTTTTTCTCCAGATGGTTTCTTCTAAATATACTAAGTTGAGTCTTTGTCTGGCCTTTTGACCACCGTAAATGTGTTGGCAGTCCAGGAGAGGTCCTGGACTACTGTCCCCGTTGATACTCAGTGGGGCTGGATCCCCCTTTGTGTTTCCTGAAGTCAATCACCAGCTCCTTAGTTTAACTGGTGTTGAGCAGCAGGTTGTGTTCAGACCACCAACCTGCCAGTTTGTTGACCTTGTTCCTATAGGTGTGCACCTGAACAACAACCTCAGCTGGAGCAACAACACCACCAGCCTGATGAAGAAAGCTCATCAGAGACTCTACTTCCTCAGACGGCTGAGACAAACTGGTCTGGAAGCTCAGTCCTCACCTCCTTCTACAGGTGTGCAGTGGAGAGCATCCTGTGCTCCAGCATCAACGTGTGGCATGGAGGCTGCACAGCTGCAGAAAGAAAAGCTTTGCAGAGAGTGGTGAAGGCTGCACAGAAGATGTTGGAGTCAGCCTCCCCACCATCACAGACATCTACACCTCCAGATGCAGGAAGAGGACCACCTGCATCATGAAGGACCACACTCACCCAGCACACACACTTTTGCCCCGCTCCCCTCAGGAAGGAGGTTGAGGAGCATTAAGTGTGGAACCACTAGACTGAGGAACAGCTTCTACCTTGAGGCTGTTAGACTCATGAATCTCTAACCAGAATAATGGTATGGTATAAAGTTTATTCAATTTAAAAAAAGTACAAAACAATTCCATAACAATATAAAAAAGATACAAAAGATTTAAAATGAAAGGCAGCAGAAAGAAGAAAAAATCTTATTATATCTGCCCCTTTTTTCAAACAATTATTTCAGACATAATAATCTTCAAGTAACAGAACAAAATGAATAACTCTTTCTAATTTTTCTAATTCTAATACAAAACACACACTAAGCTACTTCATATATACTTTTTTAACAATCTAGATTTGATCTTTTTCTTAAATGTGCACATTGACTTGGCATTTTTCACATCACTCTCTAGACCATTCCACAATCCAACTCCTTGGATTGAGGTAGACCTTCCCTTCAGACTAGTTCTGAATTTTGGTTTGACAAATATCTCTATCCCCTTAAGATTGTAACAACTTTGTCTTTTAACAACATTTCTTTGGATATTTAATGGTAATGTGTTATTTTGAGCCCTATACATAACTGATAAAATACTATAATCTACCAAATCATGGAACTTCAATAACTTCAGTTGATGAAATAATGTGCTTGATGGGTGACTGTAATGCTTTCTGGTGATAATTCTTACAGCTCTTTTCTGTAAAATAAAAATAGGCTTTGTAAATGTTTTACACGCTTTCCCCCAAACATCAATGCAATAGATTAAATGTGGAACAATGATTGTGTTATACAACATGTACAGAGCTTTATCATTTAATAATTCCCTGACTTTGTAAAGTACTGCAATAGATTTAGATATTTTTGTTCTTACAGAATTGATGTGATTTTTCCATGTTAGCTGTTCATCAATGATTACACCCAAAAATTTCTTCTCATTAACTCTACAAATCTCAACACCCTCAATTTTAAATGGATCATCAACAGTTCTCTTTTTGTTACTAAATATCATGTATTTAGTTTTATCTAAATTTAATGATAATTTATTAAGTTTAAACCAAGTTTGTATTTTATCAAATTCTGTCTTCATCAGTTCCAACATCCGTTTTACATCTTTACCCAAACAGAAAAATGTGGTGTCATCTGCAAAAAGGACACATTTGAGGAGTCCTGATACATTCACTAAGTCATTCACATATACAATAAATAACTTTGGTCCAAGTACAGAGCCTTGAGGAACTCCACAAGTGATATTGCACAGGTCAGATCTTACACCATTTATTTGTACAAACTGTTTCCTATCTTTCAAATAGCTAGATACCCAGTGTAATGCTGGTCCTCTTATACCATATTTATTTAATTTTTCAAGGAGAATAGTGTGGTCAATAGTATCGAATGCTTTTTTTAAATCAACAAAAATACCAACACAATACTGTTTTTGATCGACAGCAGTAGTTATTTGTTCTATTATTTCCATGAGAGCCATTGATGTAGAGTTTTTTGCTCTAAACCCATACTGACTGCTACTTAGAATGTTTTGTTTAGTAATAAATTTATCTAATCTGGTCACAAATAGTTTTTCTAGAATTTTTGAGAACTGTGGTAATAAGGATATTGGTCTATAATTATTGAACACACATTTATCACCATTTTTAAAGAGAGGAACTACCTTAGCTACTTTCATATTGTCTGGAAATATTCCTTTTGAAAATGATCAATTACAAATATATGTAAACGGCTCGATAACATAACTCATTATGTCCTTTACAAACATCATATCCATGTCCACCCAGTCTTTTGATCTCTTATCTGTAAGATTTTTTACTACATTCATTATTTCTTCTTTGTCAGTTCCATTAAGAAAAATACTGTTGTCACAACTTATAACTGAATGGTTCACATTATTGTCTACTTTTGGTATTTTAGCTGCAAGGCTTGATCCAACGTTCACAAAATGATGATTAAATCCATTTACAATTTCATTTTCATCATGGATTTCATCGTCATCCTTCAAAAAATATTGTGAAATACCTGTTTTTGCTTTATGACTTTTCAGAACACTATTTATTACTCGCCATGTAGCTTTCATATCACCATTACTTTTATTTAATAAATCACTAAAATATTCCTTCTTGTGTTTCCTTATAATCGCTACTAATTTATTTTTATACTTCTTATATTTCTCTTCAGCACTGAAGAATCACATCATGTTGCTGCTGAACTGTTTCATGTTGCTGCTGATCTGTTCCATGTTGCTGCTGATCTGTT